CATGCATCTGCCTGTGCTGTGGCCACATTCTCCCTGCTGCCACACAATTTCCTGGCAATGGGATGGTCCCCCTCCCCCAGTGTCTCCCTACTTCTACTCAAGTCACAATTTAAGCATAGCTACACTATGGCTCAATAGATGCCCAGACCTCACAAGGAACCTCCAGACACTGCGCTCTGTAGGGTGTAGTCTTCCAGACTGCCAGATCAGGGGGGAAGTGTGGACTGAGAGTTCAGAATGGTAGGTGCACTTATCAATTTTCTCTCTCAGCTCAGTTCCCAATCTTCAGTTTTATTGGATTCGTTCTGACCATTATCTATCTGGAAGGGAGCTTCTGTTGAAAGATGGCTTCCATTGGCCATCTTCCCTCTTAGGGTTACATAATTTCCCTTATAGAGGTCCTTCACTTCTTTTATTAGATGTAGTCCTAGGTATTTCATTTTCTTTGAAGGTGCCATCAAGGGGATTGTGTCCTTGATTAGCCTCTCATCTTGGCTGTTATTGGCATATACAAAGGCTACTGATTTGTGGACGTTGATTTTATAACCTGAGACATTACTGTATTTTTTGATCACCTCCAGGCTTGTGGTGTAGTCCTTGGGGTTCTCTAAATATAGGATCATCTCATCAGCAAAGAGGGATAGTTTGATCTCTACTGCTCCTATTTGGATGCCCTTTATTACCTTCTGTTGCTTGATTGTATTGGCTAAAATTTCCAGAACTATGTTGAATAGTAGAGGACATCCTTGGCTGGTTCCAGTTCTAAGTTGGAAAGTTTTTAGTTTTACTCCATTCAATAAAATATTAGGTGTGTGTTTGTCACAGATGGCTTTGACAGTTTAAAAAATGTGCCACCTATGCCTATACTCTTCAGTGTTCTCATTAGAAATGAATGCTGGATTTTATCAAATGCTTTCTCTGCACCTATTGAGAGGATCAGATAGTCTTTGTGTTTGTATCTATTGATATAGTGGATTACGTTTATGGATTTGCGTGTTAAATCAGCCTCGTGTTTCTGGGATGAAACCTATTTGATCATGATTTATGACTTGTTTGATGAGAAGCTGTAATTCACTGGCTAGGATTTTGTTGAGAATTTTTGCTTCTATATTCATTCGTGAAATTGGTCTGAAGTTCTCCTTTTTAGTTGAATCTTTTCTTGGTTTTGGTAGTAGGGTGATGATTGCTTCACAGATCGTGTTAGAGAAGATTCCTTTCTCCTCAATTTTTGGGAATAATTTCTGCAGTATGGGCATAAGCTCTTTGAAAGTTTGATAGAATTCTGGTGAGAAGCCATCTGGACCAGGACATTTCTTCTTGGGAAATTTTTTATTGTTTCTTTGATCTCAGTGCTTGAAACTGGTCTGTTCAGGAGATCTGTTTCTTGCTGGATAGGTCTAGGGAGAGGGTGTGATGCCAGATATCGATCAATTTCCTTCACATTGTCAACATCTGGGCATAGAGTTTCTAGTAGTATTTAGAGATAACCTCTTGTATCTCTGTGGCATCTGTTATTTCTCCTTTATCGTTTCTGATTGTGGTTACTAGAGACTTTACTTTTCTATTTCTAGTTAGTCTGGACAAAGGTTTATCTATTTTACATATTTTTTTCAAAAACTCAACTCCTTCTATTGTTAATTTTCAGAATGATTCTTTTGTTTTCAATTTCATTAATCTTGGATTTAATTTTAGATATTTCTTTTCTTCTACTGGGTTTATGCTTATTATTATTATTTTAAATCCAGTTCCATAGGAAAGTTTGTAAGTTTTTTGATCTCTCTTTCTGTTTTTCAGATGTAGGCATCTAAAGCGGCAATTTTTTATCCCCCTCAGGACTGCTTTTCCTGTATCCCACGTGTTTTGGTAGCTTGTGTCTTCATTGCTGTTATGATCAAGTAAGTTCATGACTTCCTCTTTTATTTGTTCCTGCACACAACTGTCATTCAGCATAAGGTTGTTTAATTTCCATGCCTTTATTTGGGGTTCAACGTGTTTTGGAGTTGAGTTCCACCTTTAAAGCTTTGGGGTCTAAGAAAATATAAGGTAAAATTTCAATTCTTTTGATTTCATTGAGGTTGGTTTTGTGTCCTAAGATATGATCATTGTGGAAAATGTTCCATGAGCCAATGAGAGAACGTCTATTCTTTAGCTTTGGGACAGTGTGTTCTATGTAGGTCTGTCAAGCACATTTATTCTAGGGTCACAATTAAGTCCCTTGCATCTTTGTTTAGACATCTCTTTATAGGGCCTGTCCAGTTCTGTAAGAGGAGTGTTAAAGTCCCTTGCTATTTTTTGTGTCATGGGATATCATATCACTCAGACTAATTAAGGCCTGTTTCAGAAATCTGGGAGCTTTTAAGTTGTGTGCCTAAATATTTAGTATTGAAATGTCTTCTTTTTGTATTTTTCCGTTGACCAATATAAAGTCTCGGTCTTTGTCTTTTTTTTTTTTTTTAACTGTACTTTAAATCCACTTGTATCTGAAAATAAAATTGTAACCCCTCTTTTCTTCTGAATTCCATTTGCCTGAAAAATTTTCTTCCTTCCCTTAACACTGAGTTTTAATTTGTTTTTTGTGGCTAAGTGTGTTTCCTGCAGACAGCAAATGGATGGCTTATGTTCTTTTATCCATTCAGCCAGTCTATGCCTCTTCAGTGGGGAATTTAAGCCATTCACATTTATTGAGAGAATTCATAAGTGTGGTGGCTCTCTAGTTATCTTATTTTGTGAAAGTCTATCATTTAGTTTTATCTTTTGAATCCTTGTGGACAATAGGTTTTGTCCTTTAGTTTCTGAGTGCTTACTTTGCCGGTGGTCCATTTTGATGGTCAGTGTAAAACAGTTTGAAGTATTTCTTGTAGAGTGTTATCCAACTTTGGGATTCTAGGCATCCTGTTGTGTATGAAGTATTCTGTACTATCTCACTATTGTTTAGATTTATAACAAATGGCAAAAATCTATTTATGTGCTTATTGGCCATTTTAATATCTTCTGTGGAAAAATGGCTATACAGAGCCTTTGTCTACTTCAGTTATTAGTTACTCAGATTGCCTTTTTCATTATTCAATTGTAAGTTTTCTCATTACATGTTCAAGATTATAGCTTTAGATAGATATATTAAATACAAGAATATTATTGTATTCTTTAATTGCCTTTTTACTCTCAGTGTAGTGTCCTTGGAATTAAAAAAAAGTTTTAAGTTTCGATGTAGTTTAATCTACTTATAATGTGTTGCTCATATTTTGTGTCATATCCAAGACTTAATTATAAAATCTCAAATGTTGAATATGTACCCCTGTTTTCTTCTAAGATTTTTATACTTTTCACTATTTAATTTGTGATGTTTTTATTTTTATGAGTTTCTGACTTCATTCTTTTGAATATGACTCTCCTATTGTTCATTGCTGTTGGCTAACCATTTGTTGAAATGATTATTCTTTTCCTCATTGAATGGCTAGTATTCTTGTCAAAAACACTTTTTTCCACAAACATGTGGATTATTTCTAGACTCTAGTACCCAGGCATAGACCTGTTTCCCAACTTAATTGTTTGCACTGATCCCCTGATGATTTCCTCAGCATTAGGGCTTGTAGCGTTAGGATCTCAAAACTTTCCAGAATTCTTCAGAGGCAGGTCTCACCTTGCTCCCTGACAACAGTTTCTGTGGGGTGCAAGAATCCCTGAGCCTGTCATGATTGGACATATGATCCAAACAGGTGGAACTAAGAAGGCTATGTCCCTGTAGGAGGCCCACCCTGGCCATCCCCAAGCTGCCAAGCCCTGCCAAGTATGGCCTTCTCTGCTGCCACCGAACTGGGGGCAAATCTGCTTGGATCAGTCCTCATAACGAGCTGTCATATACTGTTTAGATACACCCACTCTTCTAGGCTATCCTCTCAAAGGGCTTCCTCCCATCGCGGACCACTGTGGAGGGGCTGGTCACTCCCACTCACAGAAAACTTGCCTAGTGTGTCACAACTCTGCTGCTCCAGATCATGGACTGTGTTCAACCCCTTGCCACCTTGCTGTGCACCCAAGTCACAGCTCCAGGCAATGACTCCTTGCCAGGCACAGCTTGGCATTCTTCCTTTTCACATTTGTACTAGCAGCATTGAGCCAAATGCACTTTCTGGTCCGCCATCATGCTCTACCCAACATTTAAAACTCTTGACTATAAAATTATAATATAAAAATATATAATAACAATTATATAATATAAGGTTCTTCATACATCATGAGTGCTGGCTGGAATTTCCAGTTAACTACTGCTAAACCAAATGTAAAAATCAAAATTCCTTATTTATAGTGATTTATAGTGTTTGACAACTTTCATGGATATATTTACGCTAGCAGTGTGATAGAAGTAATCGGAAAGATGTTTAAAATATTAATTTTTTTGGTAAATGGTTTTATTTCTTTCAGGCTGAAATATTTAATATCATCCTTTCAATTAGAGGTATTGATTCTTAATGCTCTGAATGAGAGCAAGGGCCCTGATCTTAGAAGAACCTTAAAAAATAGTAATCTTTGTGCTCAATTCTTTCCATTTTATTTAGCTTTTTGATCACATGACAGCAGAGCAAAAACATGATTGTTCTAACTAAAGGCCAACCCAGTGAAAGTGTTGTTGAGCTGTAGGAACGGCCTAGCCTTCCTGTTTCTACTTAATTTCTTTCCCCTTCTTTGACTTGCATTGGTGATTCTCTCTCCTGGGCATTGGGAGATAGAAACACTTAACACATTGATTCTGAGAAACCTACCTCAATCAAGCTGGATTAAGGAGAAAACAACTCAAGAGGCCCATAGAAGAAGAGAGGAGTACAGTCACTTAAATATTGATAACACAAGTCAGAAATTTTAGTTTTACCAAGAATAAACTGAAGCCTGCAATGTTAGAAGCCTTTTATTGAACATCATGCTGAAGGCCAAGAGACCATGTAACTTTCCAATGGTCCTACTACAGTCTGACACTTTGAATCATCCCTTGTGCTTAGGGATCTTTAAAAGCATCTTCTCTGAACTACAGATGCACCAAACTCCTTGAAATCTTCAGAAGTGACCCACATCTGCTTGAAAGAGCTTACAGAGGTCATTATGGATGCACCAATCCATGCAGAAAAACATCTATCTTGAGAAGTCATGATCTTGATGGGTGTTCCTTTGGAAACCTGTTGATCTAGTTCTTTTGTGAGCCTTTCCTTCAGTCCAGGAATAAGTGTGGTTCCCCCACAGAGTACAATGTCTGCAAAAACGTTCTTCTGTATATCACCAGGACACTTCATAATGCTGCTGGAGACCATTGTTGAGAGTCCTGGACTCTGGCTGCCTAGCTGGTCAGGTGCAAAGAGAACCTCTGGTGCTTGGTATAATTGGTGGTCAATGTGGATGACATTCCCATCGGGAAGTCTGTATTCTCGAAAGACTTCCTTAGGTGGCTTGCATAGCTCTTTCTCTGGCTCCAAAGAAACATAACACAGCTTCTCTTTAATATCATTCACCAAGGCCTTGTTCAGTGTGCGAGGAAAAATACATGCTCTCGGAAAGAGGAGTTGGATGAGGTGCTCCGTGATGTCCCTCCCTGCCACATAGAGCTGGGTGACTGCATGAGGCAGGGCGTAACCCTCAAAGATGGGGACGGTGCAGGTGACCCCATGTCCACTGTCCACCACCAGGCCTGTGATGCGAGCAGAGGCATAGAGAGCTACCACGGCATGGTTGGACAGGTAAAGAGCAGGCACATTAAAGTTCTCAAACATCATTTCAGCAAGCTTCTCTCGAATCTCCCTTGGGTTCAAGGAGGGCTCCGTCATCAGTACAGGTTGGTCACAGGGTTTTACTCCCAGGCGGTACTTAAACAGGTATTTCCAGAGTTGCTCCATGTCATCCCATCCTGTTATCAGTCCACGTTCAATGGGGTAATGCAAATATAATGTCTCATACTTGGACTGGGCTTCCTCCCCGACAAAGTACTTCTTCTTATTGCCTCTTTTGGAAGGAATGTTAACTTTAGGATGCCCCACGACAGAGTTGATAATATGACGAGGTCCAGTCTCTCTGGAAAACCCCACTTTACAGAGTCCCGAACCATTGTCAAAAATTACGGCTGGGACATCTAAGACATGTGGATTAAACATGTCTGCTACGTCCTTTCCTGAACCTCACCAACTAAAGGAAAGAACACTTAGGCCACTTTGTGACACAGGC